AATTTTTTTATAAGATTGTTATGTAATATATATTATTCGTCCTGTAAAATCTATCAATCATTTTAATTCAAATTGTTTTAACTGGTCATCAGCTCTTAGAACTATAAAAAAGACGCGGATACAAGAGGGGGGGGGTAAACGAGTAATAACCCTCCCCCGTGTTGCTCTAACATATACTGAAATTTATTAAATTGTAACCTCGAGATTTTAAAAGCAAAAAAGCAAGATGGCGGCGACGAATAAAATCATTTATCCCCTCTCTCCCCCGAGAAATATAGAGCCAAACTTTTAGTGAAGCAGGAAGCATTACAAATAATTATAATAAAATGAGATAATTTGGTAAATTCAAGGAAAACAAAACCTAATCATATTTAAAGTTTTAACAAATATAATTGGATTGAAAGCTTCTTCGTCATGTTTACTTTGCTTTGTTTAGAAAAAATTACGTTAAATTCTCATAGACCATTCACCAGTAGACTTTATTGGCAGTGAAGTATCGGGTCTGTTAGTTTACTTTACATGAAAATCCTTATTTTATAATACAAAACATCTTTTTGCAGGGAGTAAAAATTTATTTTCAACCAATTAAAAAAAAACTATTACAGAGACAGTAGTAGAACCAAAACCATTAAGTTTTTAAGCATTTACATTTTTTGGAAGTACACTTAACAGCAATAAATTAATAACAATCAATAAAGAACTCCCTACATTTTTTTTTTATTTTTTTATAACAAAATAACTTTTGTTATATGTATGCAAAAATTGTTACCCAGTAAGTAAAATAAATAATGATAAATGAATTATTTTGGCATACATATAACAATCTGATGATATATGATAATCCCCCCATTTAAAAAATTAAATCAGTTGAGATTGTCTGTAAAAATAACAGTTGAATAAGTTTAATTTCGGACCAAATCTATGTCACAATTTAGAAAATCCTCCCAAATATCACAAAAAATTATATCAAATATGTCCTAGATGTCATACTTTGAAAAATAAAAAAACTTGAATTGGACATACTTGATATGCGATCTTTATCGAAAGCACAAGCTTTTCCTGTAGTAATTGAAGATCAGCAATTACTACCTTTAGCAAAAATCTCCTTTATTTTTGCTTTGAGCGAACAATATCACAATATTCCCGATAACCATTTTTGAAGTCACTTTTGCAACACTTCCACGAGTCCTTTTTCTCTGGGCACAAAAGTTAACATTATAATAAAGTCTATAACATTCAGATACACTTGAGATCTCTCGAGAACCATTGAAAATGAGATGCCAAACAAATTACAAAAATGCAATTCACCAAAAAAATTCATTTGAGTCACATTATGTGGTAAAAAATATAGTGTCATACCTAAATTGCGTTAAAAAAAAGTAAAAATACTTTAATTTCAAATGTGAAATATTATCAATGATAAAATGTTACTGTAATTATAAATAAAAAGTACATTTGAATGAATTCAAAATTATATTGTCTCTCCTATATTGTAATAGAAAAATACCTGAATACATTATTTTTTAAAGCAGTAAATAGAATACAAGATAACCCTGAATTTCAGTAAACTTTTAAGTTAATTTTCATGTTAGTTTATGATCTATTTATTTCTTTGTAAAATGAAATATTAATAAACCAAAAGAATGCAATTACTTTTCTTGTCATTTTCCCAGTTTTGGGTTTTAGTGCTTTTTCTACTTCTTTCCTTGGACTTCCTTAAATATTCTTTGCTTTGGTTTTCACAGTTTTTAACTTTATTTTTCTTGATTTAAGCACAATCTTTTTATCCATTTTCAGTTTATCCCTAGTTGTAACACATTATACAGTCTGATTTTTAGGTCTAAACATTAGCGCACTCTTCTTTATAATAGAACTATATATACCAGAACCTGTAAATGCTAAGTTGACTGCTTGGCTTAAGTTGATACATTTTTTTTTGAGTGGCTTGATCTTTATCGCTCACCAAAGTTGACTTGCGTTTTTGCGAGTATTATTAGGCCTACTCTTGACTTCAGTTCTAATAACAGGTGCACTGACAGGCTCTATGTTTAGTAATAGTCACAGCTGGACCTCATTTCGCTACGATATTTTTTCCTGTCTTTCATCGTGCCCTTTTTGGCTTCTTTGAGCACTGTCTCCAGCAGTTTGACTCGTTCATGTGTGACTCGTAATCTTTTTTTCCAATTTGGGGAGTTCGGCATTGTTTCTGACGAACTGTTTGTGAACTTTAGTGAACTGATACGAGATTGTTTACGAGGAACGATATCTTCTGCTTTTAAGCCAATTATCCTGTTCATATCAGCTCGCGTCTCGTGATTGCTACGAGTCGATTGATCTCGTCTTTTTCATCCAATTGCTGATACAATCTTTCCAATTCCAGTTTGTTTCTCTCATCTAAACCCAACACACTGTGGGACGTTTTACCTATGTTCTTGCCGAAAGTGACAAAAATTAAAGCAGAAGTTCTTAATTTTTAACGACAAGAAGTTTTGATAAACATAAGACATGGGGAAAAATGTAAGACCATTTGTTGCACGCAAAGTATTTCTTAACTGTTTTGGCTCTTTTGCCAAACTCCAGTGTTTACTTCGTTTCAGATTCAAAGATAGAGGGAGAGGAAGAGATGACTATTGAGTTATCTGAGATGCTGTCCTCATTCTTTTATATGTGAGAGTCCTAACTAGTTGTGCATTTTTGAACTATAAAAAGTTATTTGGAAGACCCAATTACAGGCATATTTTCTTCTCTAAAGTCAATAGCTTGTTGGTTAAAATATCGTTTTAAAAATCTCATTATGTAAGTGAAGAATCCGTGAAGGTCGCAATGTTGTTAAATTTTTAAAGTTACTAGTGAAATGCATTTTGTGCATACAAAAGACATAAACAAAGTTTCAAAAACAAAAAACTGTATAAATGGATATATCAACAAAAGAGATCTCGAAGAGACAATTTAATTATATCAGAGTGTGTTAGGTAAAAAACAGCATCTTTATTAGTTTAACTTTTATTTAAATGATATCCTTTTATAGAAAAACCATCCGAATATAGTTCTCCAGACAACTTTTGGTTTTACAAATTTTTTAAGGTAAGACTTAGATGAATGTTCATTCATATTTGTAACAGCTATGTGTCTATTAACTTTCGCCTCTTCTATTGATTCAAATACTTCTATATACACGAACCTTTGTGACCCCTTTGAAAAAAAGTACCCAATTTTTATCTTCGTATACACTTACGTTTACCTTAGAAACACCTAATAGATTTCTAATGTTATCCATATTTTTGAAATTATGATACTTCAATGTGAAATTCTAAGTTTTCTCCCATGGCGTAAACGTGTGCAACACAAAGTTTTGTTACAACTCCACCAAAATTATTTACAAAGTGAAGCAGAATCTGCAGATCTTGCAGAAGTCAATTAGAGATGATTTTTCATTTGCACCAATGAGCTTGAAACTACAAAGCTTTTGTATCCTTAAATTATTATTTTCTATTAATGTCATACCTATTATTCATATCTTTTCAAAATAATCTTCATATTAGACTTATTTTTGTTCTTTCGGGAACTAGTTCAGAACCAGTGCACTCCATCGACTCAATGTGTTCTTGAAAAATGAAATAAAACTGTATTTGAAAACTAAAATCAATGGTTCCTATTCAATTTACATTCTTGATTTGGATGGGATTCCGAATATTTTTGGGACACATAGACATTAAATTAATTTATTACAAAATTAAGGCTTATTAGAATTTAAATCAGATCATTATCTTCAATTTATATATTTGTTAATCTTATTTTGTTTTCACTTTTACTATAAAACGTTTTAAACATTTTTTTAGTTATTTCAACAGCAAAACTTTTCTTTGTCGAAATAGAAAAATGTTGACATAAAACTGCCAGTTATATTAAAGAGTTTTTTAAATCAACAAAAAAAAAATAGTTTATAGGTATAGCAAATAAATAAAGGTCTATATAAAAAGTAAATATAGATAATATTCAATTAATATATTTATCACATTGATTGGTTACATTTCAATTTTTGATAATTGCACCTTTATTAAACTATTGAAATTGTAAATAATATCATCTCAATAAAATTATATTAATACACTGCACATGACAATGAATCATTTCTCTAATGAATACCAAAAACAGTTTTATTTTATCATTGACAATCATTCCTATTTTAAGTCTTTAGTTCATCAAAACAAACTGTTTCAACAGCACACAGACACTTTTATATTTACTTGCAAAATACTGTTACTAGTAATTCGACTAGTCCTTGCATTTTTCCATTATTTTTTATAGAATTGCATTTTCGAAATTTGCTTAGAATAATTCAACGCATACATCAAAAGCACTACTGAACAAACGGAGATTTTGTTGGACGGATTTTCTTCAGTAGTTCAAATGACGATCTGGGTAATTTTTTTGCAAGAAGTCAGAAATAGAGAGTTTGAAACCGCACGGGTAACAAAATGCGTTTCAAAACGGGGATCGGACGGTTTCAATAATGTTTCAGAATGGAACTCATTCTTCTTTTTTTTTTTTGAATATAGGAAATTTGCGTTTGGCGCATCAACAAAGTGTTTTATGTATAAATGGCAAAAAAACATGCATATGCAGTTTCAAATTGAAAGTCAGAATTTCCTATTTATATATATTTTGAAAAGTCTAGTCAGAAATTCTGGTAGGAATTTTAATCGATTTTTAAAGTAAATATTACTCGTAACATTTCACTTATTGATAAATACGTCAATAAAAATTACTCTAATTCCATAAAAATATATATAGAAGAAAATCGGGCATGTGACAATTTTAAAATATTCATTTTTTTTAAATAAAACTATTTTAAGAATTAAAGAGCTGAGAATAAATCTAATACGAAAATAATAAAACTTCTTAAATATATAGAAAAAGTATTTTAAAAAATTACTTAATTTAATCAAATGAAACGTAAAACACAAACTCCCAAATACTCAATTTTACATAATTGAAAGTCTCTAGTCAATTCTGAAATCACAATATTTACTATCACAGATGTGTTACAATGAATAATAAAACCATACGACCCATCCACAATCTATGACAAATTTCCTGTAAAAAAGTCACCGCCTGCGATTGACAAACTTTACAATAAAGAAACGCGACTCATATACTTAAGTGACTTGTCACAAATAAACAATGACGCACTTTGAAGAATATTGTTTTTAACACAGTTTACATCGCATTTTTAAAACGTTCTCGACTACAAAATTGTTAAAATTTCAAAAATTGTATAGTCACGAAAGTGATTAGCGAATTCTTTAATTTTCTATTTTGAAACTTATAGGTTTGACGCACCTTTTCAGTCATATATTACTGTTCAGTTAACAACTGATGTGTATATATTTAATATTTTTCGCCCATTGGACTATTCACGTTTTTTTATAAATATACTCGTTAACTTCAGTAATGAATTCAAAAAATATAAAACGAATCTGTCAAATGTTTCTGAAATTTTACAATATGTAGATACTTTTTTGTACATCGTACATAAATTTATAAATATTAACGTTAGAAATGTTTTTTGTTGCGTAAAAAATACATATATCCTATTGATTGGTTTAATAGTGCGCAATGCTTATTTGTAACATTGGAACTACTTATTTAAGTCTTCTCATTGCAATAACTATCACACATCATATTTACCGCACTTTTTTTGTTTTCATAGTAGATTAATCCCATAAATTTTCACTGTGTATAAAAAATTCGAACAAAAAATATCTTCTTTTATAAGGAAATTAAAAAGTTCTTTTATCAGTTCTTTCCATTTGAAACCTATGTACACGAGTTATAATTTTTTAACTTTAAGTCACCCCTTTACTTCCCTGGTTCGATTTCGTCATCATCGCAACTCATTTTGGCGACATAAAGTTTGGGGTCGATGACCTTCGGAATTGGTTTGATCTCAGTTCCGAGTTCTTGTTCGATGCGGTGGAGGGAGAATCTGTCATCATACGTGATCAAGTTGATGGCAATACCCAAGTGTCCGAATCTGCCAGATCTGCCTATACGATGGAGATACGTCTCTGCCATTTTTGGGAAGTCAAAGTTTATCACAACATTTACTGCTTGCACATCAATACCTAAAAAATGTGGAAATTACGGTTAATGTAATCGAATCTTGAAAAATTTTCAAATGAAGTAAAGGGCAAACAAAATTATCATTAAACTAAAAAATTTCATATGCAATGTTATTTTTTTCTTCATTCATACGAAAATTTACTATTTTTACGAATATAATGTGTATGGTAAGTTTCTAATGCTAAGTTTGGTGGTTTCATTAGCATTTTACAATAACAAACCAAGTTATTTGTGTTGCATATTTGTCCCCCCAATCTGATATTAAATATCAGGCCAAGTCTACTAATATGCCATTTATTTATTAAAAAATAATATTATATTGCACTTTTGAATGGATAATGTGGTGTGCAACTTTTAATCAATCCTATTTTGAACCTAATCAATAATTAACATTGAGAGGAACTGCTTTTCTTATTTTTTACCTATTTTCCATAAAACAATAATGGTCAACAAATCATACAGAAAAGGGCAAGAACACAACTATTAAAATTATAATAAAATGAAAAACACCTAAACTAGTAATATTTCTCTCCCTAGGTAAATAATGATAATAAAAAAAAACCTAGGTAAATAATGAAACTAAATTTCATTAGTTTCATTTTGTTAATTTGACAACTAAACTCCCAGACTACTTGATATTGAAATATTTGAAAAATAAGTAGGAAATAACTAAAGCTGGGTTTATCAAATCTAATCAAATCAAATATGATAATATATATCAGTGTAAACAGTAAAAATATATATTAACTAGGAAATTCAACACCGGCTTTAAAAATTATTAATTAATAACAATAAATCCATGTCATTAAAATATCAAAAATGCAATGGGATATTTCCTAGAATCATACCAAAATTTGACACATGCCAAATTTTTACATAAATAAAGCCAGTCTGATTAGAAACACGCTCCAGTCTGCTTGATATTTCGAAATATTTAACAAATTGTTAGGAAATTACTTATGTCAAAATTAAAATTGCTAATACATTAATGTTAGTAGTAAAAAAAGTTCTATATATACCTCGGCTGAGAAAGCTATTATTTACCTCGCACATTATATCCCTCGGCGCTACGCGCCTCAGGATATAAAAGTGCTCGGTAAATAATAGCTCACTTCTCACCCTAGGTATATAATGTACTATTATTTGTAAAAAATAAATTATATTTGACAAAATAGTTATTGTTATGATCATGATAAAAATGTAGAAGTCCAAATGACAGCAGAATGGGATCTTATGCCACTGTTTTGACTATAAACAAGAAAAAAAATAAGCATCCATTGTTGCCAATTTTCAAATTTTTGTTTCATTATATATTTTATAAATCTAAATTTTGTATCTTGTATTTTCTTAAGTTACATATTATAAATGAATTTTACTAACTAAAGTAATTTTTAAATATTTCATTACTTTTCAATTACTTCTTAAGCAAAAGTTTACAAGAACCGGTTCATATTTCTCTAAACATACAATAACTTTTTAGTTCTTGCGGTCTTGTCTGTAGTCACTTGACTGGAACAATGTTCCTAAGTTTATCTTTTAACTAGCCGACTGCTTTGTAATTGATTGAAGATCAGATAAACACTTTTTAATTTAGCAGCGACTTTAGCCACCAGTATTGATAACTATCAGTTACGTAACCAAATCATTTAACCATGCACCGGTAAGTCGGCTCTAAATGAATTGATTCTTGTTCCTATTTTTTTGCAATCGGATCTATTAATTCCAACAGTATATAATAATAATAATAATAATAATAATAATAATAATTATTTATTTACACATAATAATAATATAAAAGTTTTACAATAATACACAAACATATGTATTGTAACTTCAATGTAAATAAATCATTGACCCCATTAAAACTGTTACGTCGAGCATGGGAAATGCCAATTGCCAAAACGTAGTAGGTAAAATAAATCTTAATTATGGTATATTATATAATAACTAAAATAATAATAATAATGAGATAGGAATAATAACTTGATTACTAAAAAATAACTAAATTAATAATAAAAAATTGAAATTGGTAAAAAAATATAGTTAGCAGAAATAGTGATGCGTGATAAGGGTGTGAATTATATATACAGGGTGTACCAATAAAAACTCCCAGGCCGGATATTTTCGTAAGTAATAGAGATATTTTAATTCTGTAAAAGCCAGGTCATAGAGTGCTAAGGGAGCTTCAGTTTTAAATATAAATTAATTTTAAATAGGTCAATATGTAGATGGCGCTGCACTCAATATATTTTTTTCGATGGGAGGATCTTTCTTATATAACGCATCTTATAAAAAAATGCATTTTTAAGCAGATTTTGTTCTATAAACTAATTCGATAAATCTAGCCATTTTTAATATACAGAGTGGGTCACTCAAAATAGTTTCATTCTGTTTTTCGGCATTATTCATTGGATTTTTAGAAAATGCTAAAACATGTCGATTAACACAATTTTACAATACAGACATCTGTCATGTGTCATCCCCCTCTCTTCTACTTCTCCAACCCCTAAATTTTATATAAGGAATGTATCATGTATGGCACATCATTGAAAAGGTAATTTTATGGAGAAGTCAGAAATATGACTGTTTATTGCGATAATTTAAATTTTAGCGCCCTCTATCGGGATAAAACACCTCTAATGTATTATAAAGTGTGACACTTCATTTGAAAGCTAATTTAATTACTATTTCAATGCACCACATAACATTAATATACATATTTCCACATTGCACTTGCAACAAAATAAAGTTAGCAATAATGTTTAAAATAATGCATGACTAATTTTCAAATTATTGCAAGTGCAATATGGATTTATATTAATGTTGTGTGGTGCATTGAATTAGTAATTAAATTTGCTTTTAAATAAGGTGTCACACTTTGTAATACGTAGTTTTTTTGTCCCGATAGAGGGCGGTACAATTAAAAGTATCACAATGAAGTCATATTTCTAAATTCCCCATAAAATTACCTTTTTAATGATATACTACACATTGTAGTGTCACACTCTATAATACGTAGTAGTTTTTTATCCCTCTAGAGGGCGATAAAATTTAAGTAACGCAATATACAGAAATATTTTTGAATTCACTATTGAATTACCTTTTCAATGATGTGCCATACATGGTACATTACCTATGTAAAATTAAGGTGTTGGAGAAGTGGGATTGACACATGACAGATATCTCTATTGTAAAAATGTTTTTAATTTGGAATAAAAATCGACCTGTTTTAGGATTTTTTTAAAATCTAATGAATAATGCTGAAAAACAGGATGAAACTGTTTTGAGTGACCCACTCTGTATATCAAAAATGGCTAGATTTATCAAATTAGTTCATAGAACAAAATCTGCTTAAAAATGCATTTTTTTACAAGATGCGCTACACAAGAAAGATCCTCCCATCGAAATAAAATTATTGAGCCCAGCGCCATCTATATATTAACCTATTTAAAATCAATTTATATGTAAAACTAAAGCTCTCTTAGTGCTCTGTGAACTGGCTTTTACAGAATTAAAATATCTCTATTACTTACCAAAATATCCGGCCTGGGAGTTTTTATTGGTACACCCTGTATATATGTTTTTCTTGTATTAATCAAAAATTTTTTTAAGCATGTGCCTATTATTTAATATTAAATATGTTTTAAGCAAGGATTTAATCATTGCATGAGAATTGGTGGTATTTATGTATATTTTATATATATCAGGAAGTGTATTATAAATTTTTAATTGTAGATATTGGAAGTTTCGTTGTCCTACGGTTTTTTTTGCAATGTTTGTTGTAATAAATAGTTTAAAACCGAGTTGCAGCAAAACTTAACTGTCGGCCTTTCCATATAATGATAAAATACATAAAAAGAAAAATAAATGAAATAAAGAACTTACCTCTTGTGAACAGATCTGAACAGACTAGATTTCGGCACAAACCAGATCTGAAGTCGTGGAATACCCTGTTTCTGTGGGCTTGTGCCATTTTTGCATGAATGTAGTAACAAGAATAACCAAGTTCTGTGATTTTCTTAGCAAGCAATTCTACTCTTTGAGTAGAATTACAAAATATAATACTTTGATTTATTTGTAACTAAAATTAAACGAAAAAGTATAAAAATCTAATTCGCAATTACAGAAGTTTATATTATTCCTCATGCAAAGTACAAAATGTGAGGAAAAGCAATATTAAAACAGCAGTGATGAAGATCACAGCTCGTCAAAGAAGCTTGCTGATGACTGAGGGTTCAACTATTCAAAAATATTAGGAGTAAAACATGTTTTCAAAAGAAATCTAAAGCAGCTAATATACTCTAGTTTTTTTAGTGAATAAAACCACTTTAGTATTAGTACTTTTTAAATTTTAAATTTTATTTTTTTTTTTAGTTGTTTTATTTTCTTAAACATTAATTGTTACTGTTTTTATTATTATATATTAGAGCTATTAAGACATGGCCTTGCAATAAAAAGGTTGCGTATGTGAATGTTATAAAATTAGTTAATTTTAATCAATTTCTTTTTCTGTGAGATGTAATAAAGTTGTACATGCATGACCCACATAACACGTGCTCAGGGCCTCTTAATTTGTGAATCAGATATATATTTATGTATACATTAATTAATTTGAAATAAAGGAAAATTATTATGTCTAAAAACTGCATTTTTCAGGATGGGAATCACAGAATTTCACAATTAGCAATAAAAAAATATATAATGTTCACCATATAAAACGTTTTGCACTTTGAGTGATGATATATAAATTCAAAAGAATGTAAATGATTATTCTCGTAAAATTAATAAAAAAATGTATGATTTAAGAGAGACTTACCTTGGAAAATAGAGTATTTAAACAGTGGACTTTCTGCCTTTCTTGAACAAAAGCGTAATACTGTGTAACACCTTTCAGAGTAAGTTCTTCCATAAGATTGATTTCATATGGATCACGTAGGTGTTTCCTCATGAATTGTTCAACTGTCAATGGGAACGTTGCAGAAAACAATAAGATTTGCCTTTCTTGTGGCAGATTTTTAATCACAGTGTCGAGCATTCCCTTAAATTAAAAATTACTCGTATATAAAGAAACTATTTTGTGTAAAAAATATTTAATTTGTTTTTATATTTAAAATAAAGAAAGTAAAGGAGAAAAATTAATTTATAAATTTTAAGTCAAGGTATATCTGAAGTTTTAATCGTAAGTTTATTTCTGTTTTCTGTAGTATATTTGATGAAATTATGGGAGCTATATGCCGTTCTGTTTCTTTTTAAATCCAGGTGGGCTATGAAAGTCAAACATCCTACACTCTGTATGGACATACTGCCACTATCCCTTTCGAATTTTCCTTAGGTATTTTAAACAATTTTATTTATGTATAGAGAATTCAGTACTAATTTCAAAATGGCAAAAGTAAAGGAAGGACAAATTACATAAAGAAAACTTATTTATATGATAATCCAGATTTGGATCAAGAATATACAGGGTGGGCATAAACTATTTGATTTTTTTTTTAAATCTGTTTTCACAGTTAAATGTACATCAGAAAAGGCAACAATTTACATATAATTTCAATAATACAGAGGTTCTCTAAAAAAGTAAAACATCAAAGTTTATTGAATTATTTTATATTTGAATTACCCTCGCTTTTTCAATAATAAAGATACCAAATAGTATGGGATTATGCAGAAAATTGTATCGATTCCAATAACCTGTATACTGTTGGAGAAACAATTGAAAACCATTTTTTTATAGTAAATTTTGATATTAGTCAACATTTATGCTGTCGCACAATTTTCTTCAGTTAAAATGTACCGTATTCGAGATATTTGAGAAAAAGTGTGAATTTTGAAGAAAACTCAAAAACTGATAAAGAGAAAAACATCAAATTTTAAACTTAAGCTCTATTATGGCCTGCGGTGAACTGATTAGATTTCGGGCAAAGTCGGAACATCTGGGGGTACTTTATTGGGGGTACTTTATAGGGGGTAATTTTTATATTTTATGGAATATATCTATTATTTACGTTTGGAGAAGAAAAATCTTCAAATAAAAGTTGCTTGTGATGTCATTCTCTACATTTTTTGTCCTATACGTAACTTCTCTAAAATGGACCGTATTAGAGATACTTGAGAAAATGTGTAAATTTCGAATTTTGAAGATAATTCGAAAACGGTTGAAGAAAAAAACACCAAATTTTAAATCTAAGCTTTAATTAATCCTGCGGTAAAATGATTAAATTGTTAAAAACAAATTTGTACAGGATTAAGTCAAAATTCAAATAAATTATTTTTTCTTTAATGTTTTTATTTAATTGTTTACAATGAGGACGTATGTGTCTGCCTAACAGTATTTTAACAAAATGCTTTCACAAAACATTTTTTTTTAACTAGTCTTACGCCAGGTACAATTGGTCACCACTTTCGTGTACATGACGTCATCGTTTTTTTTTTAACAGAATAACATATTTTTCTCTTTATTTTTGAATTCTCCAATAATAGAAGATTACAAAAATGTGTGTAATACTTATAGTCCAAAGTCATTGGTTTGTGAATTAGATAGAGACAAATGTTATATCAGAAATTTTGAATTTAAAGTTTTATTGAGGGGACTGGACTAATAATAACCATGGTAGGTTTTTATTAATGAATATCATTTTCTTTTTTTTGACATGTATTGGTTTGGTTTACAATACAAATGTCAAACAATAAATATTTTTTACTTATCTACGATAATAATGATATTGACACTCTTTTACTACTTTTGTCAAACCCATCTCCTATTACTTTGACATAACATGTCCTACCATTATGAAGATGAGTAGTAATAGCAGTGTACCTTCAAAAAAGTGGGTAAGATATTATTGACAGGGGAGATGAATTGAAAGGTTTATAATGGATTGTAAAAAACAGGAATAATTATGAGTTTTTTCTTGATTACAAATCCAAAAAGAGATTATGTTAATTTAATTAATAGATCAAAGAAACATCATTATCAGCTTAATCTACAGGATTTAAATATGCACCAAGATAATCTGGAGTACTGTTAATTCTCTAACAGGAAGAAATAATCGTACCAACACAGATAATTTTGGATTGGAAAATATCTGATGAAGTGACTATAGCCAATTCATTTGTGGACTATTTTTCAATGTCAGCAAGCAAAGCAATGAGAGCTCACATTCCAAATACCAATTTTGGTAACTACCATGCAAACTTTCTTCTTTAATGGAATAACTATACAATAAGTAATATGTCTCATTTCATCATTAAAAAATACTAATTCAGTTGGCATAGATTGTATTTCAACCAAAGTTATTAAAGCAATTAAAATCTACATAGCAGAACCTCTAGCACATTTAATTCGTCAATAGAAAAATGAACCTTTCCAAATGAGTTGAGGATAGGTGTAGTGTCTCCAATTTTTAAAAAAGGTGATCATACTATTTTAGAAAATTATCGGATTCTACATCCAATTGTAGCGTAAGATGTGCATTTGAAAATAAAAATTTACCTATAAAAGAAATTGTTAAAATATCAAATTTATTCCAACCTATACGTCCTCACTGTATGTATTTTATATCACTATTCAAAAGAACCCTAATTATACTTTCATTTGAGTCAAGCATTTTCTATACCTAAAGTTAATAATTTTGGGAGATTTTTAAATTTAAATTTAAAAAATGGTAATTCACAAAATAATAAATAATACTAGTAATAACGAACTGTCAGTATTGGTTTGCAAAGTCAACTTAAAATTGTAATAAACTTAGAATAAAGTTAGAATTATAATGAAGTAAGTCTATGATATGTTGCTATTGATATTTATTTTTTACTGAATGTTGAAAGTCCTATTAGAAATTTTCAAAAAAAATATTCAGTTGATAATAAATTATACCTGGTTAAATTCTAATTATTAATTAATAAACAATCTATTTCCTATTAACCAATGACCAGTTTAAATGGAAGTTTAATTAAGGTACTTTTGAATGGTGATACAAAGTACAGGGTAGTCAATTAAAAAAAAATTATTTGAGTATTGATTATTGACTCGCCCTGTACAGATTTGTTTCAAATTGAAAAAATATTGCATCAGCATAAAATGTAGACTAACATCGAAAAACTTTTACTGTAGACAAAATTGGTTTTCAATTTTCTTTTGCAGTATAAAGGTCATTGAAATCAATACGATTTTCATAAAAATCTGGTTGTAGTGTGTGAAATACCTTATATATTTCCATACATTTGGTAATGTTATAATGGGAAAAGCCAAGGCAATTCAAATAAAATAAAATTTAAAAAACGTATCACTTTCCTGGAAAACCCTGTATAAGTAAAATTATTTTTAAATTGTTGTCTTTTCTGATATACAGCTCGCAATGAAAATAAATTTTAAAAAATCAAATAGTTTTTGCTCTGTAGACCAAAGCGTTAGCGTTGGCCCACACTGGTCTAGCATTATGTTTAATCGACAAAAGTTGAGTGTGAGTTAGTTTTATGTGTATTATAGTGATTTAAGATGAACGTACAAAAATGGGTTAGTTAATATTATAAATATTTCCTACTCATTTTAATTTTGTGCAGTAAATGATCTTCACATAGATTTGAAGTAAATTTTAGTTTTGTAAAAGTTGTTAAGATTGTGCTTATAGTTGTCAGTTTGAAAGGTAAAAAATGAAGCGGTTTAATCAGTATAAAACTCAATTTTACTATTTTTACAGACGAAAAGAAAATAATCTCAATTAAGAGATAAAGCAAAAATAGTTTAAACATTTTAAAAAAATCTCCCAGTACATTTTCGAGAGCTGCATTAGGAATAAAAGCTCTATGATATGTTATTTGTCTAAAATACTGTATATAATATCGATACATTTTTGCCAAAGTAACGTAAGTGACATTTTTGGTATTAACGTAAAGCGTTTGTATTCTTAAGTAGGTACTGCCAAAGTGTAGTAAGCCTAGAATTTACTTTAAACCTTTATTTTTAGCATTTTAAAAAACATATGTTCAGAATTTTTATATACGTACTAGTAAAAGAAACGCAAATGAAACAATATTTCTGCCGTAATCATGTAAGCTGATTTTTTTACCGTCATAATAACGTAAGTCTCAGTCGGTTTCTGCGACTTACGTCAGTTTCTTGCAGTCCGTGTTTGGCTTACGACAGTGACAGATTGTGCTACCTGTGAGAAAAGTATTGCTTTTAGGTAAGTAAATAAAAGAAAAACTTTTTGCAGTTGGAATTTAAATATTTCAATCGTAACTTATAATGTACCAATAGAATTGTATTAAAATAGGATTTCCTTTCTTTATAACAAATTGTGCGTCATAACCTCAAATTGCCAGGGATAAATTTATAGGATTGAATCAACACCCTCTAGAGAAGACAAGGCATTTCAACTTCATTTAATGGGGGCCTAGATCGACCGAATTTGCATTGTGTTCCTACAGAAATTGTCAATATTGAAACTAAATTGAGCTGAAACTCCTAAACTTCTGTATGTTTCTAGAGGGTGCGGATAGGATTATGTATTTAAAACTAAATAATTTTAATTGTTTTTAATTTACCTAAAGATGAAATATTATGCTATATTAGAGTTTTTTATAATGTAAGGACAAATTAGTTGTCAACAATAATAGTACATATTTAACAAAGTAAAACATACTTAATTTTCCTTTTGTTTTCTTACTTAAAATATATTTATTTAGAGTTTGGTTCAAAAAATAGAAGGTGCGCCAATAATAGTTTGAAATAACAATGAATAAAATCAGTTTATATGTGTTTATATCTTCTATAAAATTTCCTCCAATATCTGCGTTTGCAAGAAAACAGAAGAAAATTGCAAAAACCCTATCTAACTTTTCAATGGTTATTTAATATATTTCAACAGAGTTTCAACTGAATGCACAAATTTAAAAAATCAATACATATTTGCTGGTTGCCTTAAAGTATTTCTTTGTTTAAGGTCGAAAGCAGCAAGAAAAGGCTGTTCCAAAACTGCAACAAATTTATTAACAACTACTTTCAATATCTGATTTGAAAAAATGGATTTGAAAAAA